CCGAGTCCTGAGTTACGTCTCCTGCCGCTTTCCTTCCCAGGGGAGCCCGCCGGGGGCCGGCAAGGGCATCCTGAAAGGGACCGTGTGTCGAGGGTCATCGTAATGCCCCATGGGGACGGAGGGGAGGCTCACGGGTCAGCCGCCAGAAGCGGTGTTCCTTGGAACTGGGCGTGTGACGATGACGGGGCCTTTGACCGTCTGAGACGCTCGGGAGGGACTTGATAGGGAACAGACAGGCAGAACCACCTGGTAAACTGGGCGTAAATAGCAATAATAATAATGATAATGCTGATAATAATAGGAGGAGGAGGAGGAAAGAGGAGGAGGAGGAGGAAGAAGGAAAGGAAGAAGAACAAGAAGGTGAAGGAGGAGGAGGAAGAAGAGGAGGAGGAGGAGAAGGAAGAAGAAGAGGGTGAAGAAGAAGAGGAGGAAGAAGAAGGTGAAGGGGGAGGAGGAAGAGGAGGAGGAGGAGGAGAAAGGAGGGGGAGGAGGAAGAGAAGGAAGAAGAAGAAGGTGGAGGAGGAGGAGGAGGAGAACGGCAGCAAATTAACAGGCAATGAAAAAAAATCAGGCTGGGAAGGTGGGAATAAAGACATCTTTTCCTTGTAAGTTTGTGTTTTTAACCACGGGAGCGTGATTTCCCTGGGGCCAGCTTAAAATACTACAGGGAGATCCAATCTGAGAAGGTTTGGGAACGAGGGGGTGTTGGTGGGGGGGGAACCCTTTGGAAACACACCCGCCTCTCTCTGCTCCCCTTCTCAGCCTCCCGGCTCCAGAGACGCTGCAAATCTGGTCTCCTCATGAGTAAGGGGGTGCCCCTCTTGCCTGGAAACTCAACCCTGGTGAGGGCTGCCTGGGTTTTTAAAAACCTTTGGGGCACCGCTGCACTGGGCAGGGGGTTGGACTAGCGGACCTCCGAGATCCCTTCCGAGCCCGGCATTCTCGGACTCCTGACGGCGCCTCCCACCCGACGCTTCGGCGCCGCGGTTCCTGCTTTGTGTCGGCCCCGGGGGCTTTTCCGGGGCTCTCGCACTCACCGTGCAGCCTCCAGAGGACATAGAGGGGGGGGAAGCTGTCCGGGTCGGGGCTCAGCACATCCCAGAGCAAGCGCACGTTGACGGGGGGCCCCTCCTGCGTCGGCCCCTGAAAAAGAAAGGAAGCAGGAGGGTCTGAAGGATCTGAAACCCTCTGGCGCCCATTTCTCCTCGGACGCCGGCTCTGCTTTCGGGAGGAGCTGGTTGGGAGGGGCACCCCGAGGTCATCGAGTCCAGCCCCCTGCCCCTGCCGGAAAGCCATTCCTGAGAGCTGGCCGTCCAGCCCCTTCTCGAAAGCCTCCAGAGATGGACCTAGACCCCGACTCTCTTTCCGCCGCGATCCCCTCGATCCCCTCCTCGGCCTCGCCTCCCTCGCAGGGTGGTGGCGGAGGACAGGCACGCTACCTGGGAGCCCGGCTGGACGTGCTTGGAAGCCAGGAGCAGCTGGGGCAGGCCGCTGCACAGGCCCAGCCGCTGGAAATACCACACCAGGTTCCAGTATATTATGGGATGGTTGTCCACCAGCTCCGGCTGAGACAAGAACACGGCCCCCTCGTTCTCCAGCAGGGTCTCCAGCTCCTTGCGCAGGACCAAGGGGCTGAGGTAGGCGAAAGCCAGCTGTTCCACGTGGGGGGCAGGACCCTGAGGCACCTGGGAGGAAAAGGAGGGGTCCTAATTCCCCATCAGCCCCAGCCAATCCCCAGGAATATGGGAGTTGTAGTCTCAGACTCTGGGAAGGGGACCAAGTGGCGTGGCGTTCTGTTCTATTCTATTTGTAATTCTCATTATGCTAATTGGGACCGTAAGTCGAAAAACCACAGGACCATACTGCTTAGCGACGGCAGTCCCGGCAGTCCCAGTTGCCATCGTTAAGTGAGGACTGCACAGGTCATTAAGCGAGGACCTCGTGTGACCGTGACCTCCGACTTCCTGCCAGCTTCCCCACTGACTTTGCTTGCGGGAAGCCGGCAGGGAAAGGTCACAGATCGTGATCGTGTGACTGCGGGATGCTGTGATGGCTGTATGAGGTCCGGTCATAACTTCCACTTGTTCAGCGCCGTCGTAAGTTCAAACGGTTGCTGAACCGAGGACCTGTTCTGTTCTGTTCTGTTCTGTCAGATCGGCTGAAAACCTGCCCGCCTGCCAATTATTCTTTCTGTCCTGCTTGGCATCCTCTGCTTTTCCCAGGCCCCCGAGAGGCTCAAAAGCACCCACACGGGCTACAACCTCCGTGTGTGTACCGGTGAAGGCGAACCCTCGCCATGAGGACTGGAAACTTAATGCTCAGGAGGAAGGCCAGGACGGGTACCTACTTGTAGCATCTGAGGCGTTTGGGACTAATTTGCTACACCTCCTTCAGAAATGAGCCTCTGAAACAGAAACGCCATTTGCATTTGCACATCCCAACCTATCCGTGCCAGCGTCCGTACCGGGGATTCACTGAAGCCGTTGCACAGAGACCCATTCCTGGATTTCCGCCGTGGATCTGACTCGGCCTCGTCCAGGAGGAGGCACTGGGACCGATCGCTGAGCACCGGGCCCTGACCCCCTGGGACGGGTGCTTCATTGTCCCGGGGCCAATCAGAGGAGACCGAACTGGTGTCAGAAGCATCAGCCATGCTGAAAGGGGATGAACGGATCAGAGATGATTTATTGCTGTCGTTCTTTCTGACAGCTTGAGGACTAGAAGACTGCTTTAGAAACAAAACGTCTCTCTATCCAGAATTGCAAGCTCTCTCTCTCTTTTAATCCATGTTTAGCTTCAACTGTTTCATAGATCAGACAGTCAAGGTTTTTTAAGCTCACTTCAGACGGTGGGAAGAGGAATCTGATGAAGAAACACTTCTGGGCATGAAATATCAAAAAGTCCCTGTTTGTAGAAAACTAGCAAGTCAAGGAGATGGTAGCATGGAGGAACCGTTGGTAGCATTCTCCTACCTATTTTTGTTCTGGGCTGGGTTTTATTTTTGTTAACAAGACAGGCCCTGCAGAGTATTATCTTTGATACTGCACACACTGAGGACAGATTTGAACTTGGGCTTTCTCCTCTCAAAGCTCTGTTTTGTTTACTCCAGCGCAGATGGCTCAAGCAAGTGAGTCAAGTTACAGGGAGGGTAGAAAACCATCACACGTGCCCACAAGTCTCACAATACACTTAACTTGGTGAATGCATTAAATCCATTTTCTGGGTTCACAGGACCCCTTGTACCCACCTTTGCATGGCAGGTTAGCCACAAAACCCCCCAAAACAAACAAAAAAACTAATGTGGAGTCCTTGGGGTTCTCTGAGTTTGGTTCTTTTCTTGCAAACGTTGCATTACCCGGCTAGGTAACATCTTCAGTGGTAAAACTAATCAAATGCAGCTACCAGGTTTTCACCAGTCTGGTGAAGGGCGTTGTATTTACTTAACACAATGTGGCTGCAACAGTGGTCACCAAACGGACCGTGAGGGCAGCAGATCTGGGTGGCTAGGTGGGTACCCCCTTTCTCCCTCACTACCCATGTGGGTCCCTCCTGAAGTCGGACGCTCGGTGGAAGAGGACAGCTGTCCCAGATCATAGTCAAGGCTATATGATAGCTGCCAAGATCAAGGGTGGCAGGCTGGCACTCGGGCCCTGGGGGAACCGTCAGGAGCGAGCCTCAGATGCCAGGGGTAGGGGCGGAAAGCACCACCGGGGCTCTGACCTGAGCGAAACAATCTGGAAATCTTGGATCTCGATGCTGAGGAAGGGCACGAAGGGGCGCCCACAGAAGGGGCAGGTGGTGTTCAGGTTGGAGTCGTCCGAACTCCACCCCGCCATCACCTCTTCGTCGTACACCAGCGAGTTGCAAGCCTGGCAGCGCGAGCAGCTGGAAAGCAGCACCTGAAGAAGCAGGACAGTCGTTCAGAGCGGGTAACGGTGGGGCCAGGGACGAGGAGTCCTCCGAGCGAGCAGGGACGCGGGGGATTGAGCTGAAAAATACCTCAACTGCCGGAGGCTCCAAGAGACGATCGCTGGATTTACGGAGGTTGAAACTGCACAGGGAAGTATCCGAGAGATCGTACTCGCTGCCCAGCGAGGCAGAACTCTGTTGCAGGAAAGAGCGGGTTAAGCCGAGAAAAAGGGAGACCTCGGACAAACGATCGGGATGGCTCGTTCTGCATGAGATCCTGCACGGGCATACCAACCTCTGAGGCTGTGGATCTGGGACGTTCCGGCGGGAGCAGCAAGTGACCGTCAAGCGGACTCTGGCGAGAGGCGTGTTCTCGGTGCTCGGACCCGCCGCGCCCGTGGGAGATCTCCCCGCCAGCCCCCTGTCTCAGAGAAGGCCGCTTGATGGGGGACAGAAACTGCTGAAGCTTGGCTGTCAGACTCCGGCGGGGGGTGCTCCCCAGGCGACGGTTTTCAGCAGCCTGGCCCGGCCCCGGCATCGTTCCCTCGGGATGTCCGGTCTCCACGCTGCTCACGGTTATCCTGTCGCTCTCGTCCGTCAAGAAACTGGTGATGTCTGAAAGACTGCTGTCCTCCGAGCTTCCGGGCCCGTCCCGTCCACCGCGCAGCCAGGGAGGGAGAGTGGATAGCGTGTTGGTGCTTTCGGATCTGGGACTACCCAGTGTTTTTGCTGCAGCAAGTAAGAGATCTTACTTTTAAAATGTTATCTTTCCATCCCAATTTCTCCACCTCGCGGAGAACGAGATCCTCCCTCCCGGAATCCAGACTCACCCGCGATTGCGCCTGCTGGCGTTTCCTGGTGCGGAAAAGTCAAGCTGCCACTCTTTGCGAGAGAAGCGGGTTGCAGGTTCTCACTCAAGCTGCTCCCAGACCAGGTTGTCTGCCGCTGAAGGCCGGTGCGGGGCTGGGATTTGGGGGGCTTGGCCCCTCTGCCGTCTGCCAGCCGAAAACAGAGAAAACCCACCCCCTTTGAGAGATGCAGCATGTTCACCAGCTTCTCTGAGCTGCTGTTAATTACTCCCTGTCTGTTTGGCTAGGATCAATCATCGTTTCTCTCCTCTCTCCACTGGACTAGTAGCCTTCCCTGCTCCAAAATGTATTGCCGGCCTATCATCTCAAACAAATGTTGTTCTATTTCTCTCCATCATTGTTTTCCTTGCATCGCATTAGAGCACAAATATTATTTTGAGCTAACAGCTGACCTGGGACAACACACGAAACCAGGGTTTCTCAACCTTGGCAACTCGAAGATGTGTGGACTTCAACTCCCAGAATTCCCCGGCCAGCATGCTGGCTGAGGAATTCTAGGAGTTGAAGTCCACACGTTTAAAGCTCTACTAAATCTAATAGTTGACATAAATTGATAGTTGATTGCGCGGATACTGACAGCTGGCTGGAGAATTCTGGGAGTTGTAGTTCACACATCTTAAAAGCATGCTGGCTGGGGAATTCTGGGAGTTGAAGTCCACACATCTTAAAGTGGCCAAGTTCGAAAAACATTGCACTAAGTCCTAGTTGACAATGAGAAGCACGTGCTCTTGACTTCAGGTGACTCAGAGTTAAGGCTGTGGGAAAGGATTCCTGCCTTAGGCAACGGAGTGGACTATATGATCTCCCAACCCCCTTCTATGCACACACATGCACACAACATTTGATGAAAATACATGCAAAACCAATCACGTATTTTAACCAATGCACATGCTTTGTTCCAGCTCTGCAAACGTGAAAGTACTGATCGATTTGTGGAACTGGCGCCGCCAGGTTCGGTGGGGTGGGCATCATCTGGGTCTTGCCTGTACCTGTTGGAGGGCTGAGGCTCCGTGATTCCGCCTCCCGCTGGCGCTGGCGCAGGGGCTGCCGGAACTGGGCGGCCCCCAGGACGACGTTGCGAAGCTTGGCCCAGCGAAGACGCCCCCCTTGGCTACTGGACGGCCACTTGCACTCCAGGATGGCCTGCAGCGAAAGCGGGGGGGGGGGGGGGAAGCCCGGGAGAGGAAGCTGAGCACTCCAGCTGGGGCAGAGAATTCAGGGCTGCCGGTGACCCGCTTCGTTTATTTTTATTTGGTTTATTTATATTTCAAATTCGTCACCGCCCATCTCACCATGGAAGTGACTCTGGGCGGTTTACAGTAAAGATAAAATAAACGTGAGTTAAAATTGGGGGGAGATGGGTGGGGGAACAAATTTAATAAATAAATAAAAATAAATAAAAAGAGAGAAATAGTAATTAATTAATTAATTA